CGTCGAGTAGAAGTTATCAATCTGATACTGAAGGCAATTTATTTTCTTAAGGAGTGTTCGGGTTAGAGAGAATTCACTTTAGATTTGATTTTTTTAATATCTAAATGTGATTAGAATGAACATATTTAATCGATTTAATCCAATTTCTTAAGAAATGTACATTTAAACATTCTTAAAGCCAGAATCCGATATTTACATGGGATCCTTGATTGTGGCCTTGGACTAGTCCAAGCTAATCTTACCAAATATCTATTTATCCGTCGGCGTGTGCGTGTAAAATGTTAAAGATTTTAGACGAAGCTAGTATTCCAAGATGGCTGCATATACGCACAATAAAGGGAGAAAGTTATATATATTTGCTTCCATTAAACTATTCGCGTAATTTTCATCGAATAATTACGCGTCGTTTGTTATATTCAAGTCATCTACAGACTAGCTTATATTTTAAAGGGGAAAACAAAAGGCTGTTTATGATATGATGCCATCGACATATTAATTGACGGTAGAAAACAGTGTTCTATTTTCCTACAGAAAATGTGCTTTCACGCTCCGCAAAACAAAACTATTAAATAAAGATTCAACTGCTCAAGAAAGGGGGAGAGATAGGGGTGAGAGAAGGCTTACTGAGGGGTACAACATTATTGAAAGCCCGAAAACAACAAAAGAAAAAAAAAGCAGACCTAAGCCGACAGAAAAGAAGAAAAGGACATGAATAGCAATCATTAAGGAACTGACCAATATGCAAATTACAAATTGAAGAGATCAAAACCAAGCAAGCACCACAATGTAAATATCTTGGAAGTGTTTTAAGACTTATTGAGATAGCGAAAGATGCCTTCCAAAAGCTAAGTAACGTATTAAGAAAATAAACACTACTTTAAAAACAAAGAAAAGAATACTGAACTGTTACGTAACATTAATCTTTCTATATGACTGTGAATACTGGAAAGTCCCCTCAGAGATGAAGAAGAGACTGGAAGCGACAGAAATGTGGTTCTACAGAAGGATGCTGGGGATGCCATAAACTGGAAATGTAAGCAAGGGAGAAGTTTTGAGGAAAATTGAAAGAAAAAGAGACTTATAATTAACATCAGAAAGTTGAAAATTTCTAGCGCACATTAGGAAAGATAGCTTGGAATATCGGATATTAAAAGGACAGATTAAAGGCAAGAAGGAAAGAGGAAAGCAACACAACCTACCTATCAAACTTGAGTAAATAAATGGCAGAGCAGGATTTAGAAGAGATGACAAAATTTGTTACTATTTACTATATCTGTCTATACTTCTGTGATAAGTTATTATGTAGACTGTTTACATTATTCGGACTATTTTCCTCATCTTTGTCGCCATATTTTTTACAATGTTTCGTCCGTTGTACGCTCCGCCCTTCTTCAGGTTGTTGGAATGTCGAACTGAACCCTTTATTTCGCACACTGGGGTAGACTGTTCTAGTTCCACGTGCCATGTTTTAATGGAGGTCAGTTGTCAGTTATCGCCAAGTTCTTCACTGCCTTAACCGTAATGATAACAGCAAAAGTTACAATATGAGCACTGGTAAAAATGGTTTCTGAAGATATTAGGTTTATAATACCCAGAAATTCATACACAGATGTCCTCAATTCAGTTCAATATGCAGACCATTTGTAACACAAAACCCGCCAAGTCGGTACTCCAGTTCCTGCCAAGCACGTTGTAGCATGTCTTGCGTATCAGGCTCCATCGCTTCAGGGATTCTCTTTGTGTGTTTCTCTAGGCTTGTAAGAAGAGGGGAAAATAGACCTGTTCTTTCACATAGACCCATAGAAAAAAATCACAAGCTATCAAGGCAGATGAATACGGTGGGCATTTAAACAGCACATTGTCGTTATTTCTGGAATGCCTAATCCGTCTTCCTGGCAGATTATCATTGAGATAATCCGCACAGCCAACGTAGACATTTTGTTAAAATTTGTGATCATTTGAGCAAGAATTGGCTATGTTATTAGATTACAAAATCATATAATTTTTGGGACATCCTCTCTCTTTCTCTCCCCATCTCCCTCTTTCTTTATATATATATATATATATATATATATATATATATATATATATATATATATATGTGTGTGTGTGTGTGTGTGTGTGTGTGTGTATGTGTGTGTGTGTATTTAAACATTATTAAATATAACGGACAATGAATGTCTATTATGTTTCATCATGAGACATTCTAAACATTTTTGCTTTAATTTCGGGTGAAAATAAAAACAAAAATTGACCACCATTTGTATATTTACTTGGATATTTATTTATTAAGCTGGTCCTTGGTTTAAGCTTTTGGTTCACATGACCCTATCTTCAGACATTTAAACAAAGATATTCACCATCAAAGATGATATTCTGTTATGTTGACATAGAAGACTGCTATGCGACGATAACGGCATCTTTGAAGATGGTTCATGAAAAAACATTGAAAATAAAGAATAAAAAGCGAAACCCAGAATCAAGAGAGACGCCGTCGAATATATTTCGCCATGGAATAATAAACTGAGAAGAAAATACTAAAATACAGATACCTACTTACAACTGCTTACACAGACACACGCACGCACACACAGACAAACGCACGCGCTCACACACACCTATATACACCTATATATAGAATGTGAGTGCGGACGTTCATGTATGTATAATATTTTTGTCACGAAGTGTAGAAATATTATACTGATCCTGGAATGAAGTGCAGGGAAACGACAATTTGATACTCGACAGACCGAACAAATATTCTGATTCGAGACAGAAGTGCCGATTCCATACATAAGTAATGCCGTTATTCATTTGGGGATAATACGTAAATTGGTTCTTATGTTTAGTTTGTTATTATTATTATTATTATTATTATTATTATTATTATTATTTCTTTTTCTAAAAGTGGAAGATCAATTCTGCTGTTAACAGTTCGAAATAAACCGATTCTGCCCAAACTCGTTTAAATATTAACACGATAAGAAATTCTCAAGTCTCGTTGTTGAAACGCATATTCGAATTTTAAGAAACTTTGGAATTCCATACAAAGGAAGATACTCACTTGTCTATTATTTCAATTATTTTATTTTTTAATTATCATAGGAAGCTCAGGGAATAGAATCACTTGAGTTGAATTCAAATACCAATTTTCTAATTCAGGTGGGGAAAACATTCCTTGAATTTTATTAGTACATAAATGAATTAAATGCCTTCCGATACAAAATCGTACAGGTTTTCGATCAAAACACATGAAAAGCAGGTGATGCTTTTTCTCTATAAAATTTCGTCTCTTTAAAATTCTGTGTTTGCATGAATGGAATTTTGTTCTTTATGGATAGAAGTTTTATCAGAGCAGACATTGATCCATACTCTTTACAAGAAATAAACAAAAGAATTTAATGAATCGAAACAGTAACTGGAAAATAAAGACGGACCAAAGAAACTTGCTAATGTACTTGGAGAAAATGTACCTTGAATTGATTGTATTAATTATGTATCAGTTAATTGTCCATGTGAGAAATGTTGCAATTAAGGCTTTTAATAAAATATAATGACTGTTTGAATTAAGTTTATCTTTCTTAGATATGTATTCACTATTATATATGGGATGATGGTTACGACATGACAGCTTGATAAGTAGTGAATTGGTATATATTTAGTCTCAACTTATTTTAAAGGTGGCCCAGTATGTCTCAAGTAGCGAAATTGAAAATGTAATAATAATGGGCTTTCAAAAGTAGCCTTGACTCGAAATATACCTTCTAGAACTGGGGCGGACAAACTTTCTTAATGTAAAAAGCATATAGGTAAGACGTTTCTGAGCTGCAAGGCATGAAGAAAATTTACACATACGTTTTTATTGCATACACGTTTTGCTACAAATTTTTTTATATAAATATTAAGAAATGCATGTCTACAATAATAGTTATTCATGTATGCAGTTTTTTAAGTTGTTAATTTGTATTCAGTAATCAAAAGTACATATGTATATATACTAAATGTTTTCAAAATCGTGAATTATGAATTTTTTAAACTATATTGAGCGTATTTGATACGGTAATGAACTACGGAAATTTACATTTTATTTTAAATGCAAAAAAGAAGTTCAGTCACATATTTGTACGAGTTACTAATTAAAAGGTTCAGAGAACCGCATGTGAATTACAAGCCGCGGTTTTGACCATCCTTGTTTTAGAGTAAAGAAATCTATAGAATCTATTATCACCACAATTTTTCGTTCTGTTTATGAATTGGTTTTAAAGCAAAACTTGCGTTTCTCCAGATAAACTATATTGCTTGTCTGAGAAAAAGCCCTTTGTTGAGAGGTGATGAATCAATTCAACATTGATTAGGGCCTCTAGAAGTTTCCTAAAAAGAAGCAGAAAGCTAACAGGTCGATGATTGGATGGGTCAAATGGTTGACCGGTGTCCTTAAAAACTGGAACAACAGACGATATGAAATACTAGCAAGCAGGTTTACCAAATTGAGCTAACAAGTAGTGAAATCGGCGACATTTGAGAGACTGGCGCTACTAAATTTGGTATTGATTTGTTTTTTTTTTTTAATCTGTCCAATACAAACCTGTTTATTTTTTAAATGGCCACAATAGTTACAAGAACCATAATTTAAAATTTAACGGCTCCGTTCTTTCAAAAAGGACGCAAAATGTCGAGAAATAAAAAAAAAAATAATGTTTGGATTTCAAAATAGGCTAAAGTCAAAGTCTGCATTTCTGAATTAAGAAATATATTAAATATACTACAGCTATAAATGGAGTTTCTTTGTATAAATTGTCTGTAAAGGAAAACTGATCACCCACTTAATATCCACTTGCAAATCAAATGTTAACAATCTACAAGCAGGTTTACCTGATTGAGCTATCAAGTTGTGAAATTCGAATGTTGCTCTAATTTTGAATTGACATTCCTTTCATTAGAAACCAAAAATAACCTAGTTTATTTTAACACCCCAAAATGTTTCAATAGGGAAAATCGCTTACAACCATATCTCGTTTAAACGCCGGTTATCGTTCGATCGCCGAAGTTAAGCAACGTCAAGCGTAGTCCGTACCTAGATGGGTGACCACTTGTGAATAACAGGTGCTGTATAATGAATGATGGCTCGGAATGAGAAATCAGAGAGCTGAGTTCGAACTCCAGTCGGATTCGTTACATCCACTTACACGAAAATACATTTGAGAAAGATATGAATCCATGTCTTCTCCCCCATCTAAGGGTTAATTAGACTTGTATATGAAAATCATTATTATCTCCTCAAAATAAAAATGTTCATATTATATTCACTAGAAAAAATGATTCGTGCAAAAAATCCAGCTTTAAGTAACATACAAAAGGTTGATAAGCAGTAATAATCAATCGACCAATCAATAGCAAAACTGAAAATGAAATAACGTTGACCTTTCACAAGTAGGCTTAATAGCCTTTGAGTAAAAAATATTTAGAATTTACTATGGCTAAAATTGTTTTTTTTTTCATAACAACTTGTTAATCAAATATTTATTCTCTCCAAGAAAGTTTACCAGATTGAGCTAACAAGTAGAGAAATTTGAAAGGTTAATGTTGATCAATGTTAATTAACCATCATCTCATTAAAAGTTCAACGTAAGTAAGTTGTTTTAAAGTCGCCGACACAGCTCTCCTTTCATGGATCTGGTGTTCACCGTCGAAGTGCAACCTAAAACATACAATTCTAGGCGTCGTCAGTTAGCGATGTTTTTAATCATCACGGCCATCGCATGTCGACATCAGCAGGCTAGGTGATAACCATGTCTTACGGGGTTTGCGTTGTGATTCTGCGGAGATTTCAAGTGTGATTCGTCTTAACTTCTTTGCTGAAAAGAAACCTCACAGGGCAAAACAAATATTGGCGGGTTTAATGAACACAGATTGAATCATTTCAAAGTACATAACCAGTAAAGAATTCTGTTTTTATGTCTGAGATGATGTATTGAGATTACTTTCATTATTTACATTATTCGGACTGTTATTTTCATCTTCATCGCTATATTCATAATGTTTCCTCCGTTGTACGCTCCGGCCTTCTTCAGGTGATTGGAATTTAGAACCGAACCCTTTATTTCGTCTACCGGGGTAGATTGTTCTAGTTTCACATGCCATGTCTCTTCCGGATATCTCAGTTATTTCCCTTTAACTCAACTCACACCACTGCTGTAGCCTGGTATTGAACTCACAACTCTTTGGCTGTAGTCACTGGATTTAACCAACACCTTTATCCTTGAGGATAAACTAATGTCTCAGCAAACATTTTTTACCAGTGCTCATAAAGCAATTTTTGTTATCATTATTTCATTTTTTTTACCAGAGCTTATATTGTAATTTCCGTTGTTATCAGTTGCTTTTGTTTAGCACTCCTTATTACCGCTTTCCGTTTTGTATTCATTTCTATGCATGGTCGGCTTGGGAGATTTTTGTGACCTAACATATGTGCTGATTCTTTAAGTTTTCATATTTTCCAGTGATGCTCTCTGTCTGTTATTTCAACCTCTTCCCACAGAGGGCGATGATTCCCCTCTCCCCTCCATATGTGTTCAGCTACGCCTGATTTTTCTATTTCCCCTCGTGTTACGATGTTCCCGCAGTTTCACCTGTTTCTCCCTTATATTTCTTACCACAGATGCACGGGATTGTTATTCTTATCTTCATCGCTAAATTCATAATGTTTTCTCCAGTTGATAAGAATTTTTTGTTATCATTATATCATGTTCCATTCTATGGGGTGGGTGGAAGGCATTAGTCTGATGAGGTGTCTGTGAAGTGTTGAAACATTTTTTAAGGTAGTCCTGATGTTATATGGACCACAGATCTTTTGTATTTTCTCCAATAGTCCCTTCATATAAAGTAAGGCAGACTGAAATCGTTCTCTGACTGTAGTCATCTTCTTGTACACTCTATCCGAGTTTGTCGGAGCTACTGCTATGTCGGAGCTACTGCTATGTACCCGGGGTAGTTGTTATACTGACCATTTTTGTTCATATATCTCTGGGTCGCCACTTATGATTTTTACTCGAAGTATTAAGTAATTAGGTTTATAAGTCCTAAACATTCATACACAGATGACCTCAAGGACACATGACCCAACGGATAAAGGAGTTGATTAGATCCAATGACTATGCACAAAGAGTTGAGAGTGCAATACCAGGCTACAGCGGTGGTGAACCAAAAACTGAAGAGTTGAGTTGTAGGGAAATAGCTGAGACATCTGCAAAGAGGTATGGCACGTGGAACTAGAACAATCTACCAAATAATGGGTTCGGTTCGAAGTTCTGGTCACCTGAAGAAGGCCGGAGCGTACAACGGCCGAAATGTTGTGAATATGGCAATGAAGAAGAGGAAAAATGTCCCAATAGTATAAATAACGTCATTAAAAATATTAATCTTTCTACGCAACTTGGTTGAAAAGGTTTTGGAAAAAAAATTATAAATCTAACTATATAATTGTAATAATTTAGGAGACATTGATCTTGGCACTGTCTTCTTGTCTACCAGGACTTGTGTTTTTGAGTTTGTTCTTGAGAGCGGGAAGGTGAGTGGTTTATAACGGACCTTTCCAAATTTTTCATATTCTCTCTGTCCTGTATTGTCCGTTCTTCTCATCTTTCACCTGTCCAAGAAATTTGTACACTTCTGATTCTGATTTCTTGCACGTTTTTCGCGACGATATTTTATAATTTTCTTTGTCTAATAACAGACGGTCCTCTTAAGGATGCGGTTAGGTCAAACACTTGGACTGACTTTTGCTAACAATATTAACTTTTGTCGGGTCGGATGGCGACTAAAAATCGCTTGAATCTTTCTTTGAAATTTGGGAGATTTTAAAGACCATCAATATTTGCCATATTGTCCAGGAGGGAACTATTTACGTGGGGTGGGGGGATATCTAGTTTTGCTAAATCTTAATCAGTTTCGTATCTTCTGGAGCTCTTGGCAAAATCATTTTATCGCTTTTAATTATTATTTTTAATCGGCTATTTCCCTTAACTCTTCGATACATCATTAGCTTCCTTGGGTTTTCCCATATTTAATCTTAATTATTTTCTGCTTAAAATCTTCATTAGAGATTCTCATACAGTAAAATGCTACTGCCCGGTTATATCCAGTCATGCAGTAAAAGGTTGATCCAGAATTAAAACCGTGTTATAATTTTAAATGTAGCTTCCAAAGTTTCAATTAAAGAAATTAAAAAATTATTAGTGCTGATTTTTCACATGAAAACCTGATTAGAAATGTACATTCTAGAATGGATTCATCTCGAGAATCTACTGTGAATAAAATTGGTGGGGGTGCAATGACTTGATTTTATTTGATTTGTTTGTTTCACTTCATATCAATATGTTATAGGTCATTTAATGTGAAAATTTATTTTTTTGACGAGTTTTGAAGTAATAACTATATACTATGTGTGATTCTACTTTCACAACTGAATGCATGGTAGATGATACTCAGCTTTTATGCATATACATGTTTGTGGGACATTATTATGAAAAACGGCGATATGTGTGTTTTATGTTGTAGGTTTGTTGAAGTTATGTTTTGGAATACAGTTTGATTTCTTTAAGAAACTATTCGATATTATTTGGATAATGTCATGAAAATGTTCTCTCGTGTTGGTTGGTTGCTTGCTTGGTTTTGTTTAGTGGCACATCAACAAATATGTGGGTAATTTAATGCCGAAATCTAAATATTTCGAACACAATTTTATTGCTCCAACTAAATGTATTTTAAACTTAGTTGTATCTCTTCAACTACGGATAAAATGTATTGGTCGTTTTGCCATAAAATGTATTGTTGGTAATTCTATAAAATTGTATTGATGGTCATTTTAATATAAATAGGTATTATTAGTCATTTTATAATATAATATGTACTGCTGGTAATTTTACTATAAAAATGTATTTCTATGCTTTCATAGTGTTTTGTTTTTGTTTGAGGTATTACTTGTATAACTTGTCTAGCTTGGACCTTAACAGGAGTTACTATGCCGGTTCAGCCTGGAGCTAGAACAAGGATTAAAAGGTGTTCCCACACTCTTGAAAACTTCCAATATCCAGTCAGAGAACTTGCAATCGGATATAGATTATCGTCATGCAAATGACTGACTTATGACTTCGTTGTTAAAATGACCAATTACTTTATATCCACTTGTTACTCAAATATTATACTTGCAGATTGATAATCTGCAAGCAGGTTTACCAAATTGAGCTATCAAGTAGAGAACTTTGAATGCTTACCGTTGCTAAATTTTGAATTGACTTTCTTCTTATATGTCATCCATCGTCTTCTATGAGCCGTGTCATTTTCAGGATGTTGGGGATCATAGCTCTCCACATTTCCTTGTCCTTTGTACATTTTAATAAATTTTGTCTTTCTGTTATCTCTCCCAAACATTGTTCCACCGTCCCTTTGCTCACCAAGAAGGTTATGCGTTGTTTTCCTCTGTCCTTCTTGACTTCAATCTATCCTGTGTCTATCAGATTCTCCAAACCCTCTTTCCACATTTTGTGCCCTAGAAATTTCAACTGTTTCTTCCTAATGTATAAATTTCCTTTTGCATCTATTTTCTCTAAAATGTCGCTGTTGCCCACATTCTCAGCATCCTCTTGTAGAAAAACATTACTGCTGCATCAAGTCTCTTCAACATCCGAGAGGGAATTTTCCAGCATCCATTGCGCTATAGAAGCGCTGAAAACAGTTCAGTACATTTTTCTTTGTTTCTAAAATTGTTTCTATTTCTTAATTCTTTGCTTAGCTTTTGAAAGGCATCTTTCGCTATCTCAATGCGCCTTCGAATTTTAGTGTCGCACTTTCCGTCCTCTGTTAAAACACTTCCCAGATTTTTAAATTGTGATTCTTGTTTGGATTTTGGCATGCCCTTTTGCTAACAACTATGCATTGCGTCTTCTTTCTGCTGACGTACAGCACTTTATCGCACAACGTTCACTTAAATGGAACTAAAAGTTGCGTGTCGCAAAATTCAATGTTTCAGAGAGCTGGTCTTTCAAATGACATCCAAGCTGTCAACGCAATTGGAAGAGTTTCTGTAAATATCTCCAAATATATGCCACGTGTGT